AAAATCACCTATGAAGGAAAGCCCATCAGAATCACAGCAGACTTCTCAACACAAATCACAAAATCAAGAAGAGCTTGTAGTAAAATGTTTCAAGCCCTAAAGGAAAATAATCTTCAGCCAAGATTGATGTATCCCACAAAACCATCCTTCAAAATTGATGGAGAGATAAGATTCTTCCTTGACAAAGGATTAAAGAAACTTATGGCCACCAAACCAGCTCCACAGAATTCACTGAAAAACATTAGAAAGATAATGAAGACCACAGGAACACCAATAGAAAGAAGCTGGTAGGCAGGACAAGCAATTAAACAGAGCAGAAAAGTGGGGGACAAATAAGGAAACAACATGAAAAAGAAAAGCCAATATGTATCACTTATAACCATTACCAACGTGATGGTCTCAATTCACCAATCAAAAGAAATAGCCTGACAGAATGGATCAAGAAGCAAGATCCAACAATATGGTGCACTCAAGAAACATATTTAACCCAAAAAGAAACTCATAGACTAAAAGCTAAAGGATGCCAAACAATTCAACATGCCACAGGAATCCAGAAAAACAGGAAGGGTAGCTATTCTAATTGCAGACAATGTGAACTTCAAGCCAAAACTGATCAAAAGAGACAAGATCACTACATACTTATTAAGTGATAACTCCAAGAAGAAGAGCTAGCAATCATAGATATCCATACACCAAACACAGGCTCACTGAACTACACAAAACAAATATTAATTGACATGAAAAACCAAATAAACACTAACACAATTGTAGTGGGGGACCTTATACCCCACTCTCACAAATGGATAGATCAACTAGACAAAAAAATCAACAGAGAAATATTAGAATTAAACCAAGCCTGTGAACAAATGGACTTGGTAGATGTCTAGAGAGTGTTCCACCCCAAAACATCAGAATACACGTTCTTCTCAGCTGCGCATGGGATGTTCTCCAAAATAGATCATATATTAGCAAACAAAACAGGTTTAAGTAAATGTAGAGGAATTGAAATCTTTCCATGTATACTTTCTGACCACAGTGCAATGAAACTGGAAATTAACGACAGAAAAAACCACAAAAACTACATTAACACATGGAAATTAAACAACACCCTTCTGAACAAACAACACGTCACAGAGGAAATTAAAGATGAAATTAAAAAGAATATACAACCAAGTGATAATGCTGATGCAAGTGCTGAAACCTATGGGGTGCCATGAAAGCAGTCTTATGAGGGAAATTTATAGTGATGACTCACACATCAGGAAGACAGAAGAAACTCAAACAACTAATGTGGAAGCTAAAACTTCCAGAAAAAGAAGAAATACCCAAATCCTGTACAAGGGAGAAAATTATAAAGGTAAGAGCAGGAACCCATGCAATAGAGACTTAAAAAAATACAAAAAATCAATGAATTGAAAAGGTGATTCTTTGAAAGAATAAATAAAATTGATAAACCATTAGCCAACCTCATCAAAAAGAGGAAAGAAAGAACACAAATTCAAGCAATTAGGAATGAAAGGGGGGAAATCACAACAGATCCCATTGAAATCCAGATCATCAAAAATTACTATGAGAACCTATATTCTAATAAGGTGGAAAACAAAGAAAAAATGGACAGATTCCTAGACGCAATCAAATTGCCAAAACTAAATCAAGAAGATATAAAAATTCTAAATAAACTAATATCAGCCATTGAAATTGAAAATGCAATTAAAAATTTACCCACAATGAAAAGCCTAGGCCCTGACAGATTCACTGCTGAATTCTACAAGAAATTTAGAGAAGAATTAATGTCACTGATGCTGAAACTCTTTAAATAATTGAAAGGGAAGTAATACTTCCAAAATCATTCCTGGAAGCAAGTATTACCCTGGTTCCAAAACCAGACAAGAACCCAACCAAGAAACAAAACTGCAGGCCAATCTCCCTAAAGAACATTGATGCAAAAATCCTTAATAAGATACTGGAGAAAGAATGCAACAAATCATCAAGAAGATTATACACCATGAGCAAGTAGGATTCAGACTATGGATGCAGGAATGATTCAACATATGCAAATCAATAAATGTGTAATGCACCATATTAAGAGGACCAAAAACAACTCACATGATCATCTCAATAGGTGCAGAGAAAACACTTGACAAACTCCAACACCCATTTATGGTAAAAACCCTACAGAAAATTGGAATAGATAGTCTCTATCTCAATCTTATAAAAGCCATCTATGACAAAATAACAAATAATTTCATTTTAAATGGTCAGAAACTGACACCTTTCACTCTAAAATCAGGAACAAGACAAGAATGTCCACTATCACCACTCCTATACAATATAGTTCGGGAAATATTAGCCAGAGCATTAGAGAAGAGGAAAAAATAAAAGGAATACGGATAGGAAAGGAAGAAGTTAAAGTATCATTATTTGAAGATGACATGATACTCTACATAGAAGACTGCAAAAGCTCCACCAAAAAACTTGTAGATTAAATATCCAAATTCAATATTTAATGCAATCCCAATCAAAATGCCATTGAAATATCTCACAGATTTGGAGAAAACGTTCCTAAAATTCATTTGAAACCAGAAAAGACCTAGAATAGCAAAAGCAATTCTAGGCAACAAAGTCAATTCTGGGGACATCACAATCTCAGACCTGAAATTATACTGTAAAGCTGTGATATTTTTAAAAATTTTTATTTCTTTTAAAGAGAAAAAAGATAATGAAAATGAGGTTTGAAATAGGTTAGTAGGACAGTTATAATAGTTGATTCATTGCATATTGTTCTCTTCACATTAGTTAATCATAGTACAAGATATAGGCATGACATCTTATCTAAACAATGTTAGCAAAAACATTCTTTTCAAGGAATTAAGAGAGGATAGCTGTAAAACTATCTTAACTATCTTGTGTATATACATTTTTTTACATTTTTTTTCTTTTTCCCCTTTTCTCCTCTCCCCTTTCCCCTATCACAGTTTGTCTTTTCTTTTACACAGTTTTTTACCCAGTTCAAAGCTACTCTGATAAAATCAAAATGGTATTGGCCAAAAAACAGAGCTGAGGATCAGTGGAACAGAATACAAGATGCAGATGCACCCCAAACACACTCAGCCTCCTTATCTCTGACAGAGGAGCCAAACGTGTCCACTGGAAGAAAGATAGCCTCTTTAATAAATGATGCTGGAAAAAACTGGCTCGTCACATGCCAAAAACTAATATCCATGTCGATTGCCATGCAGTACACTAAATTCAAAATAGATTAAAGATCTAAATATTAAAATACAAACACTAAATTTACTAGATAATAGGCAGAAATCCTGAAGACATAGGTGTAGGCAGATATTTCATGAACAAAACCCAGACTGCAAAGGAAATATTACAAAGAATCAACAAATGGGATCTCACCTTATTAAAAAGCTTGTGCACAGCAAAAGAAATCTCCAACAGAGTGAAAAGACGACTCATGGAAGAGGAAAAAATTCTAGCCAGTTGTCCCACAGACAAAGGACTCATATAGAGAATATATAAAGATTTGAAAAATATCAGATCCCCCAAATGCAAAGCAATCCAAAAATGGGCATCTGAGATGAATATATACTTCTCAGATGAAGAAATACAAATAGCAAATAAATACATGAAAAAAGTTCAATATCATTGCTCATTTGAGAGATGCAAATCAAAACAACACTGAGATTCCATCTTCCCCAGCAAGAATAGCTATCATCAAAAAATCCACAGATAACAACTGCTGGAAGAGCTGTGGGGAAAAAAAAACCCTTCTCCACTACTGGTGGGAATGTAGACTGGTGCAACCACTGTGGAAATCAGTGTGGAGATTCCTTAAGAAACTGGGATTAGCAGTCTCATTTGAATGAGCTATTCCCCTTCTGGGTATCTTCCCAAAAGAATTAAAAACATAATACTACAGCAATATATGTGCACCCATGTTTATAGTTGCACAATTTGTAAGAGCTAAATCTTACAAACAACCTAGATGCTCATCAACAAGGGATGGATAAAAAAGATGTGGGTTTTTTTTTTTAATATAATGAAGTACTACTCAGCCATAAAGAAGGATAGACTGGAGACTTTACGTAAATAGATATAACTGGAAACCATACTCATAAGTGAAATAAATCAGACCCATATGTGTAAAAATCATCCTGTCCCACTAGTGAGAGAAACTGAACAAGAAAATAGGATCTGAAACATACAATAGATATCATGACCTGCAAAAGAGTAACAAACTGCAATGAGGGAAAGGGGAAAGGAAGAAAGGAAAAAAGAAAAAAAATATATATATACAGAAGATGGTTAAGCTAGTTTTACAGCTAGCTTCTCTTAGTTCCTTGAAAAGAATGTTTTTGCTAACTTTATTTAGACAAAATATCAATCTTATATCTGGTACTCTGATTAACTAATATGAAGACAACAATATGCAATGTATCAGCATTTGTAACTGTCCTACTAACCTGTTTTGAAACTCGGTTTCATTGTTTATCTTTTTTCTCTTTAAAATAATAAAAAAGATCAGCATATTATTGTTAAATATCACATAAAATATAATTTGTAATTTAAATATCGCCATTTATTTTTATGGATGAATACTAAATAATTCAAAGTCAAAGATGAAATATGCATATAAATATTTCTATAAACATGTAAAATATCAGCATTAATAAATCTATGATTTAATACTGGAAAAAACCATGCAAAATATAATAGAGTCTAGATTTAAGTAAAAGTATTTTAGTATGTTTCTACTCACTCGTAAAAGGTTTCATTTCATTCATCACCCTTTTCAGATCAACCTTACCATCACCTATAAGACACAGAATAAAATGAACAGAAACATGACAATAAGACTATAAAAATGGTGTAGCACAGAGCAGAGAAATTTTACCATATTTATTTGCTCTAGAAAATTTAATATTCTGATATACCTTTCATAAAAAAGCAGAAAAGAGCAAAGTTAAAAACACAATAAAAACAATTATTTCCTAAACAATTTATATATCAGCAGCATTGATATATTATGCCTTGGGAAAGATAAAGGACTAGTCTCTATCATTTAGTTTCTGAAAAGTACTTCTTTTCCTAGAGACAAAATAATGCTCCATGCTAAAAAGAAAATATAGCTATAACTTAGGATAATGTAAGAATAAAGGTGTAGTCATTTCATTGTTTTAATAAACTTTTCTTTTTTGAGTGGCAATAAGATACTAGTGGCCTGTCAGAAAGGTATATAAGTTGTTAGTAATAGTGCTAACTTGGTGAGAAGATTTTTGGGATGTTTACTTTTCATCTGTTAAAGTCTTCCTGGCACCAAATGTTGACAAGGGGTGAGGCTAATACAGCTCTCATGCATTGCTTGTGGGAGTTTGAAAGTGGTACATTCACTGTGGAAAAATATCTGGCAATTTCTTGTAAAACCAAACATATGATTCACTGTTTCTATTCCTACCTACTTACCCAAAAGAAAAGAACACACATGTTCACACATATCTTGCATAGCAATGTTCATAGCATCTTTATTCATGATAATTAAAACCTAGAAAGAGCCTTTGTCCAACAATAGAGGAAGAGACGAACATGCAGCGGAATATTTCTATAATAGAATATCGCTCAGCCTGTATCAACATGGGCAAATCTAAAATAGCATGGTGAGTAACAGGATTTTCACACTTTCTAAACACAGCTCAGATATGTATCTCCCATCCCATGAGCTCCTTTTGAAATGTTACTGATACAGTTCCCATGGAGAGCTTACAGTGATTGTAGATAGAGTCTTGTGACTACTTTAATGATAGCATTTGGTGAAAACAACTGCTTTGTGGCTTTTGAGGCTGCATTATACAAAGGATCCCATTTTCACCTCTCTCTTTCTCTCTGTCAGGACATTTGAATGGGGAACCCAGAAATCGCACTATGGGAGGAAACCCAAGCCAGCTTATGCAGAGAAGCCATATGAAAAACCCGTTCAGAAAGAGACGGAGACTGCCCCCGTCCCAACCGATGACTGTTGATAACTAAACGTGAATGAATGAAATTTCAGATGGTTCCAAAGCTCAACTTTTGAGTTTTCTAGCTGAGGCCCCGGATGTCCTGGATGAGCTCAGCCTTTCTCACTATGTCATGCTTGAGTTCCTGACCTCCAGAATCTGTGATCATAATAAATAGTTGCCTTATGCCACTAACTTAGGGAGTGATTATTATGAGGCAGTAGGAAATGGAAAGATTTAATTAAACTATATGAATCAATTTACATGATATCTTGGTATAAGTAAAACTAACTAATGGAAAATCAGAATATCAATTGCTTTGGGGGGGGTGGAAATTTACTGGGATGGGACACAAGGGAACTTTCTGGAGTGAGGCTAATGTCCTATATCTTGATAGATGTTTGAGTCACACAGGTGTTACTTCTCAGAACTCAGCAACCATGCATTGTAGATTTGTACTAATAATTACTAATATTTAATTAATTAAACATACTAAAAACTTATTTAAAGACAGAGACTGTCAAAGTCAATGAAAACAGAATCCAACTATATTCTAAGATATACCCTTTAGATATATGGGCACACACAGGTTGAAAATAAAAAGAGAGAAAAAGATAAGTGGATTATGTGGATCTTGTATTTCAGTGCTCTTCAACCTAAAACTAGATTTCAAAAGTTACCAGCATTGCCTGAAAAATGGCTGAGTTAATGCATACACGGCACCATCAGGGGAAACGGAGAAGGAAAGGAGATGGTCTAGGTTGTCTGCCGTGGAGTTCTCTCTCCATAGTACCCGTGTGAAAGTGAGAGACAGAGAGAGAGAAACATTTATTTAAATTATACAAAGCAGTTGAGCTCTAGTCATACTGAGAGGGAAAAGAATGAAAAGATTAAGTACCTTTCCTTTTTAAAATAAATACTCCTGTCACCCATTCGTCAATGTGGCCAAAGAGAAGGATTCAAATTTGGGCAGTACCTATCAATTTTTCTTACCCTTTCAGTAAGATAAAAACAAAGGGGAGCCTCAGAATCCTTCTTTAAAATGTATGTAAAACAAGCAAAAGATAGGATGCATTTTTCCATTACACTTGACTTTTTTTCTTAGGTTTTCAAAATGCCTTGTTGATGTCAAGTAGGAATTTTAAATGACTATTACTAGGCTTAGATGACAATTTTTATTTTCCCAAAGAGTCAGTAATATCTAAAATTCTCACCATTAACAATCAGATTTTGTGTTAGATCACCAAGCTCCTCTTCAGTGAGTTTCATACCCATATTTTCTAAAAGTGTATTCACTTTATTGGCATCAATCTTTCCTCCTTATGAAAAGAGAAATATACAGTATAAGCAAAAGTTAATGTCCCTAAAATGTGGAAAAATTTATAAGGATTATGATTTTCATCCAAAAGATAAATACCTAATGAGATTTGTCCATAACAGATTTAAATTAGACTTGTTTTAACCTTTATGATAAGCATAGTCTATATAAAATCTCAAAGGTAATTTCATAACTTCTCACAGAATTGCAGCAAGATGATAATAAGTAATAAGCCCAATATTTCTATCTAACTTTGTCTTATTTCTATTAGGTTTATTTTTACAATTTACTTTTAGTAATGTGGGGTGTTGGGTTTCCCATATCCATTAAAAGTATTTTACTTAAGTTAAAAAGTGAGTTAATTTAAATGAAAATATGAATAGTATACATAGTATGTGGATTTAGTAAATATCCCGATTAGGTGTGTGATAATAGAATAGTGTGGACCCGTCTTAGGACCTCTTTTTGGACCAGATTCCTATCTCGTTAATCTTATGTCCTCCTATTTCTTTGGAGCCTACAAGCTTTTGGTTGTTCCTTTTGGTCCAAAGGTCAGATTAATAGTGTGCCGCTGAATATATTAGCTGAGACGTGCAAATTTTCCCTTTACTTTGTGCTGCGCGGTCTTGACTCTGATAATCTTTGCCACTTGTTAAAGTTTGGAAAGTCACAAGAGACCACAGGCGTTCTTCCCATGTTACATAAAAAATAGTCTCTCCTTAAAGTATGTAATAGTCTAAGTGTTTGGTAACAGGATTCACACTTCAACCACAAAGAAGTACTATAAATGACCAACATGGTGGTCTCAGATTTAACGAGCTCCTCCCTCAACTTTATACAGCTTTACAGAACTCAGCCATCTTTCCTTATAGACATTTCCATTTGGAGGAGAAAGTACTATCCAGATTACAGAAAAACAATATGGAGACTCATAGGCAATACAAAACCAGTAATTACAGAAAGACATTTTATGAGTTGTCTTGGAACTTTTATGATTTGCTGACAAATAATGAGATTATATCGAGTGTTGGGAAAGTTTTAACTTCAGTAATGTACTTAAAACTGAACTCAAACATGCTGCAACATATCTTTTCCTTTTTTCTCTGATATTTCCATCTTAGGTAACACTGTTCTTTTTCTCACTTATGACATAAATTTTAGATAGTCAGTAGAATGAAAAACAATGAAAGATAGAACTAAATCTTGATGAAATAATGATGATATAATTTTTAAACTAAAAGTGAAGTGACACAAAGAACCTTTAAAGATGTACAGGCTGAGCGCTGGGGATATAGCTCAATGGTAGCATGCTTGCCAAGCATGTGTGAGGCCTAGTGTTTAAACCCCAGCACCTCAAAAAAATACAACACATATAGGTCAAGTATCCCTTATCAAGTATCCTCAAAATGCTTGGGAGCAAAATGTTTTGGATTTCAATTTTTTTTGGAGTTTAGTACATTTGCATATACATAATGAGACAACTTTGGGATGAGACTCAAATCCAAACACAAAATTCATTTGTTTCATTACACAATAGGCTGAAAGTAATTTATATATTTTACTTCGCTACATATTGACTGCAACTTTCACATGAGGTTAGGTGTGGAATTTTCTACTTGTGGTGTCATGTTGACTGTCAAAAACTTTCATGTTTTGTATCAGTTTGGACTTGAAATACTTGGATTAGGGTGTTTACAGCAAAAGAAACCATGAATGGAGTGAAGAGACAACTCAGAGGGGGAAAAAGGTTTTGCCAGCTGTTCCTCAGACAAAGGACTAATACCTAGAATATATGAAGAACTCAAGGGGCTGGGGATTTAGCTCAGCGGCAAAAGTGCCTGCCTGGCAAGCGCAAGGTCATGAGTTCGGTTCCCGGTACCGGAGAAAAACCAAAAAAAAAAAAAAAAAAAAAAGAAGAACTCAAAATACCAGACCCCTCAAATTTAAAAACCCACTTAAAAAATGGACATGGACAAAAATGAATAGACACTTCTTAGATGAAGAAGTAGAAATGGCAAATAAATATATGAAAAGATGTTCAACATCACTGGTCATCCGAGAGATGCAAATTAAAACAATGCCTAGATTCCACCTCACTCCCGAAAGAATGGGTATTATCAACAACTTAACTAATAACAAATGATGCAGGGCTGTGGGAAAAAATAAACTCTTCTCCACTGTTGGTGGGAGTGCAGACTGATGCAGCCACTGTGGAAATCAGTGTGGAGAATCCTTAAAAAACTAAAACTAGAGGTTCCATTCAACTCAGCTATTCCCCTTCTTGGTGTCTTCCTAAAAGATTCATATCAAGGTGATACATGGACATGCACGTTTCTAGCAGCAGAGTCTGTAATAGCTAAATATTGAAATGGCCCAAATGCCAGTCAACCAATGACTGGGTAAGATGTGCGATGGAGTATTACTGAGTCATAAAGATAAGTTTGAGACATTTCTAGGCAAATGGATGCACCTTGAGACCGTACTTTTAAGTGAAATGAATTGGACATGCATGTGCAAATATCACATGGTTTCTCTGGCGTGAGAAACTGAAAGTGTCAGTCAGCACCAAAATGTATAATAGATATTGGGAAGTGGGGAAAAATGTTCAAGTGAGAAGGGAACTAAAGAAAAAAGAGACAAGAAAAAATAGGATTAGGGTGTTTAATTTGTAAATGAATCATTTGAAAATATGCAATCTTGGTCATAGATTACAGCATTTTGGGCAAGCAATGAGATAATTTTAGAAATTTGTGCAATTTAAGTATCCCTGAAAATCACATTTTTATTTGAAATATTTATCACTAACTACCAGATTATTTGCCAGTTCTGAGAGTTCCATACCTGTCAACTCTGTTCCCACGTTTCCTAAAACTGGTTCCATGTCATCAACGTCAACTTCTTCTCCTTCAGACACAAACAATAACATGTTAAATTTTAAAGAATTGCCTCATTATTGCAAAAGTATCCAAATATTTTATTACTGCTTAACAATTGACCTCAACTATTCTGTGAATCTTCTCTGACTATAGTTCTAGTAGGAAATTGAAGTGTTTTATGTTTTTAACTCTGGTACTAATACAGACAACATAACACAACTTTTGGTAATATATTTTAATGATTTTTGATTGTGAGATATTATCAGCAAGTAATAAAACTTTAGCGCCTTTCTATAGCACATGTATTTTTTAGTAAATATCTTTGGTCAATCTGAAAACATGAGGTTATAAGGCTTGTTATAAAAATATGATGTTACATTTTATTGCTAAGACATTCATAAGCCAGAGTTAAGGTCTAGGAAATCAGAACACCATATTTCATTTAAATTGCTTAATTCATAAAAGACTTCAAATATCAGGACAAAATATGTGTACAAAGTCAGAATCACATACATTTGATAATGTTTATACATACTTAATAATTTTTATATTTGATCAGCTGGTCAATATATTACATTATATTAAAACAGCTGATTAAATGTGTTAGATTACACACTAAAAAGTTACAAAGGATTTCCATTGAGAATCTTGTCAACATTTATGTCTGAAAATAATTATAAGGCTGAATAAGAAGCAAATTGGGCCTTTCATTTAATCAAGTCATAACAAGTTAAAGAAAATCTCAGATAATTGCCTCCAAAGATGTAATATTCTTTCTTGTCCTTCTTGAATGAAGTATGTTTTATCTTGAGCAACCTTTAAATATAAATCATGCACTCTCTCTCAAGCATGTTTCTTTTCCTTCAGGCTTAAAAGTCTCAGCTCTTGTATTGAATTAACATGGGCTTTGTCTTTTTCATATAAAGCTAGGTACATTTCTACTACATGTTCTCTTAAAAATATTTTTTAAAAAGTCAGTTGACTGAGAAAGAGAAAGCAAGGAAGAAAGCAAGAAAATCATATGTATTTGATAATTTCTCTCTCACCTATGATAGTTTCCATTTTAGCTGTAGAAAGTGTTTTCAGATCACTTTTTTTGGAGCCTGCAAACAAAATTTAATGAGAGGAAAAATAATATAGACTCAGGAAAAATAATATAGACTCAGGAAAAAAGATATAGGACTAGAGATCATTTTTATTTATTTACTATTAACCGGATGACTGACCAATTTAAATAAATACGGTTAGAATGAAGACCAAGATTTAATAGTAAATAATGAATAAAAGTAATCTAAAAAGTTTGAAGAATATAAAACAAGTTAAGAAAATAAGTTAAGTTTTTTCTTATATTTAAGAAATTTAGTTTATAGTTATAGCAATGCCATAATTCTTAGCTTGAAACTTAATAAATCCTCAAAGTGTGTTGGTTTGTGATTTTCTGGCAAAATATTGTACTACAGTATCCTTTGGAACTTTGACACAAAACATAAAAGAAGCAACTTTTACAAAAATGAAGGACTCTTCTTCCAATATTCCACTAAATCTTTTGAAGTCCAAATCATGCTATTTTCAACAGCATATCATATTATTCATGTAGTATTTTTCTTCATATAATTTTCTTTTACAATTAATCAGTCTGTCATGTCCACATTTCTCATAGCTTTGTGTGTGATTGGAGAAGTCCTCCAACTTGCAATTACTTCTTGAAATTTTGCATCTTGTCAATATTTGTAAAGACTGTTACCTTCTGTTGCCAAATGCTGGTGCAATAGGCTCACATTAGTGTTAAGGAGTGACAAAGGCTTGACAGTGACTAAGTATTTAAGTGGTTGATTTAGAGATACACTGAACCAAATGATGCATAAGAACTCACTCAAAATTCAATCATTTAACCACATCATTTGTAACCATCTCAATTAAAAACAAAATAAAACAAGTTAAAAACTGTAATTTGAAACACTTTGGGTAGAAATTTAAAAATACACAAGCATATAAAGCAAAATTAAATGTTTCTCTTTTTTCCTCTTTTATTTAAGTTATCACTTTCCACCATTGCTAAAGTTCGGTATATATCCTTCCAGACTTCTAATATGTTTGTAAAAGTGATTTATATCTCTTTGAAAAATTAATTCTATTATACATATTGTTCTATAACTTGTTTGTTACAGTGACAAAATAAAGAGAAATAGGAAGGAAGAAAAAAAGGAAAGAGAAAAGAAGGAAAAAAGGAAGAATATCAATACCTGTGAATAGAAATATGAAGAGTGTTGATCAATTGGGCTATAACCTACACCAATATGGATCAGTATGAAGAAAAATGTTCAGACCCTATTTTTGTAAAACTGAGGTAGGATAGAAAAAATAAAGATAGGGAGAAACGAGAGAAAGAAAACCATAATTTAAAACTTATATTTTTAAGAAAGCTGCTTCAAGACACAGTCCAAGTTATGCAAATTTATCCAGATCTCTACTCCATAACTTTCTTCCTTAAATTTATTCATGCTTTTGAGTATTATGACCACACATTTCACAAATTCAAGACTGAGCTTATTCCCTTCTCATACACTAACATAATACCCAGACAGAAATCTTACACAGTTTGAGCAACACCCCAACTCCCTTAAGGTTGAGGAACAAATATACTGATGACTCTCAAATGATGTTTAAATAGGTAGTAATAGAACTTATTCTTGAAGCACACTTATATTAATTTATATGAAAGTACACTGGGAACTTCATTTATATGAAAGAGACGGGGAACTTCTCACAAAGGCCCGTTAAGTCAAGTGCCATGGAAGGCTATGGCATTTATGTGGCTTACCATCGGTGGGCAATGTTTTCAGCAGTTGCTTGTGCTTCTGGTAACTACATATTTTTTTCTTAATCACAAAGTAAACCTCCTTCCTCCTAATTTTGCCCTGGCCTGTACAATTATCCAAAAGAAAACTCTCAATACTAACTCTTTGTCTTAGATACTTTTTTCATAGCTGAGACAAAATACTTAACACCCAAAGTTAAAGGAAGAAAGATTTATTTGGCTCACAATTGGTAGGGGTTTCAGTTAGTAGTTGGCTGACTCCAAGGCAGGGTGGAATGACAGAGGGGAATTGCAGAAGAGAAACAGTCCATGAAAAAGAAGACAGAATTCAGCAAGCAAGGGAGCTATAAGAGATAAACCACAACAATACCAGCCCTTTTGTCCCTTATACTCTTATCCACGTTACTCAGCTCTAAAGAAGGTAGCACTCACATCCTTAATCCTAGCATTGCATCACATACTTGATTCCAGCACTACACAGCCTAGATCCAGACACTTCTGAAAAGTCTTGCCTATTGGGGGGACATCCAGACACAGCCATAACACCTTTCAACTCAACAAAGAGTACTCCAATAGAAGCAGACCCTGCATCAAAGTGTTCTTCTCATCTATCCTACTCCCCTTCAAACCCTGCCCTTAGTGTCTTACATGCCCCATCCGACCACCTTCCGTTATCGTCCCTTCACTTGACCTACCTCAATGCAGAACAACCACAAATAATAAACGGTCACAGTGTGCACAGAGGACAGATGGACGAGGGAAGTATAACTGCAAGGACTATCATATAAAAGTGTTACATGATTGAATCTGTTGATGCTGATATAACCAGAAATAATTCTCTTGGCAAACCTAGGGACAGAGTCCAAATTACTTAAAGTAAATACCAGGAGTTATAGACTAGAACTGGGCATACAAAGCTGAGAATTATTTACAGGGAGGGAACAGCCTACTAAAAATCTCCATATAAGCCACAAATTCTCCTCATTCTTTTAGTCCTCAACCCACAGTATCCCCCAAAAAAGGAGGGAGTTAAAGGGGGTCTATATAAATAAATACAGATACACAGGAGCATGGTGGAAGCAAAGCAACAAAGACCCCTGAGTTCTCTCAACTTTCCCAAGGCAGAGAAAAGGGTCATAAAGGGAGAGGAAAGCAAATAGTAGGTAGGGGAACTCTATGAAAAGTTTATAGAAGGGATGATGAAACTAGACAACTTCAAAGAAGAAATGAACCAAAAATTCACAGCAAGTTCATCCAATATGTCCATGGTGAGTTTTGAGGAAATAAAAACTGGATGAACCAAAACAATTCAAAACTTGAAAGACAGATTCAACAAAGATGCACAATTCTCAAAAAGATGTCAGACAGACATACCTAAAATAAAAAAACTGTACATAACTCATAAATTTCAGGAATGTCCAACATGAAGACAGTGTGTCTGAACTGAGGACAAAATAGTGAATTAAAATGAAGTAGTCACAGAAGCCACAAAGAAAATAAAGGAACAAGAGAAGATTATCCAGCAGCTACCAGATGACAATAAGATGACCAATCTAAGGCTAACTGGAGTCAGAGAAAAACTATAAGATAACACAGATAGATTTACTAACATATTTACAGAAATCATAGAAGAAAATTTCCCAAATGTTAGTGGTACCTTGGTTCAAGAACTTAATTTGTTCTATAATCTTGGAAAAAATGTCTATGTTGTGTTTATATAAGAAAGACAGTCTGGTTGTGTTTGTCCTGAGGCAGAGTTTGAAAACAAAAACAAAATTTTTCCAAATGCTTCTGGTTGAGAACCAAATAAAAGTGTTCATGAACTGAGGTACCACTGTACCAGTAAATGGTACTTACAACACCAAATGACTCTAACAAAAAAAGAAGCTAACCAAAGCATATCTTTATTAAATTGCTAAATATCCAGCAAAAAACATTAAAAGGAGAGAAAAACAAAACAAAAAAATCACACATAAAGGTAAACCAATTAGAATCACAGTAGACTTTTCAACACAAACCCGAAAGGCCAGAGGAGCTCAAAGTGAGGTATTTAAAGCCCTAAGAGCAAATAGTTTACAACCTAGATCAACTTACCCATCAAAGCTATCTTTCAAAATAGGTGAAGAAATAAGGTCTTTCTATGAAAAAAAAAGCTAAAAAAAACCAAAAAACAAAAAACAAAAAACAAATCAGCTAAAAACACAGAAGAAACAAAAACTCCAAGTAAACTCAATGGATAAACAACAATAACAACACAAATAACAAAATGTCAGGAAAAGAAAAACAAAGGATCCTCCAACAGATAAAAAAAGGCAATAGTAGTAAATGACCAACACATCTCAGTAATATCTCTATGTTAACAGCCTCAACTCTCCAATTAAATGACTCAGATTGGCAGACTGAATCAAAATCGAATCCAACAGTCTCTTGCATTCAGGTAACTCATATAATCAAAAAAGATATTCATACACTAAAAATTAAGTGATGGAAAACAACATTTCATGTACCAGGACCCTCAAAACAAGCAGCAGTAGCAATTCTCATGTCAGACATAGTAAACTTCACGTTAAAACTGATTAGAAGAGAAAAAGAATGTCAGTACATACTAGTTAAGGGAAAAATCCAACAAGAAGAGATAACATTAATCAATATATATGCACCTAATACTGGAGCACCTATCTTCAGATGAGCTGAGGAACATTCAGGGTGGTATGGCTGTAGAGTGGACCACCTATCTTTATTTAAAAGAAATGCTGAATTTAAAATATGAAATAAACACTAGCACAATCATAGGAGGAGATTTTAATGTCCCACTTTTGCAAAGAAATAGGTCAACTAAACAAAAAAAGCAAAATAGAAATTTCAGAGCAGAGTCACACACTTGCACATAAGAATTTAATAGGTATTTACAGAATATTCCACCCCTCTACAGCATAGTATACATTTTTCAGCAGCACATAGTATTCTTTCCAAAATAGATAATATGATAGCCCACAAAGCCTACTTAAAGTAATATAAAAGAATAGAAATTAGTCCCATGAATACTATCAGATCACTGTGCAGTGAAAATAGAAATCAATGACAGAAGAAATCTTGAAAAAGAAAAAACTCTTATAAAATTAACAACATACTCCTTCATAACCAATGAGTCACAAAAGAAATCAAAGAAGAAATTTAAAAACTTCTGGATGTTAATGACAATGACTGTACAACTCGCTGAAACTTCTGGGACACCATGAAAGCAGTTCTAAGAGGAAAATCATTACAATCAATGCTCACAAATAG